GCCAAGCCTGACAACACTGTTACATAAACTGCTTAGAATCACTCACCTAGCTAGTCGCAGTTAAGTTCAAGGTAAGAGGACTTAAACTGAGTACAATTTTAACGCTAACGTCCCTTTTAATGCACCACATTGGCTTTGTATGTAATTGCTGGTTTACTCATCTTCAGAATTGTAAAAGCAAATGTTCTTCCTAGTTATGAGAGGTGTAAAACATGTTTTGATAGGCTTTTTTGTTGCCACAGAGAAATTCTCAGTTCTATTCTTTCCTCTTATTTTTAAAGAGATTTTTAGAAATGAATTATCATTTGAAATCAACTAAAAAATCAGACCTGATCTTTCCAAGTAGCAAGTTACATGGTGAGTATAGGTCTTAAAATCTCGAAATGATCTCTTCAGCCCACTAGGAAGTCTTCTGTGAATTACTCAGCCTATTCATTAAGTCAGTAGTTTATATAGTAAATAAATTTCATCTCTTTGGAGTTGGTAAAAAAAAAAAAAAAAAAAAAAGACTTATTGACAGTCTTTCTGAATAAGAAAGCAATGAAGAATAAGACGGCCTTGCCTTTGGAACCCATGCAGGACTGTTCTCTCAGCATCTGGCACACACAGTGAAACATACAGCAAGCCTTCAATCAATAAATGCTGATTACTTGTCATCTAGAGTCAAGTTCTGATTGTGCCATTAAGGCATATAATACCAAGCCAGGTTCCCCTTATTAGCCAACCCTAGTTCAGATACAACAAGTACATATATAGAGAGAACACATGCTCAGGCACACTTGTCCTCAGCCTGTAATTGTTTAAGTCAAAGAGGCAGTAGGTCAGATTAGAGTTTCCTGGAAGAATTTTCCTAACATTTTCAGAGCTAGAATCCAAGGAAGTATCTAGCCTCAGACATTGTTTGCCTTGCTAAATATTTTTACAACTTTGAATTAATTGCCAATATTTAAAAATAGAGGTATTACATATAAAAATAAGAGATGCCAAGTATTCCTAAAGCCCAGGTTGAAGAGTAGGGACAAAAAACAGGTAGGGTGAAAACATGTACAAAGAGCAGTTATACCATGACCCATATGGCCCAGAAACTGCCCTTTCCCTACACAAGCAGAGGCCTGGGGTTTGTCAACTGGAACTGACCTAAAGAGGATTTAGAATGGGACACAAGCCACAGAAAGGGGTGGTATCAAACAAAAATCTGCATATAGGTCTGTTCAACTCATAGCTCCACCCCACTATTTGGCTCTTAGAACCATAATTTAACTGCCAGGCAAATACCCTCCAGGTAGGAGATTAAAGAGTCTTCTTTGTGGATACTAATTGATTTCAATAGCAGAAACCCAACAGAAAATGTTCAAAATTGAAAATTCAAAACTATCATGAGCAGGCTTGGCTCCTGTAGCTTAGCAGCTAGGGCGTCAACCACATCCATTGGGGCTGGTGGGTTCGAACCCGGGTGCCAAACAACAATTACAATAAAAAACTAGTCAGGCATTGTGGCAGGCACCTGTAGTCCCAGCTACTTGGGACGCTGAGGCCAAGAGAATCACTTAAGCCCAAGAGTTTGAGGTTGCTGTGAGCTATGATGCCACACCACTCTACCAAGGTTACAGAGTGAGACTCTATCTTAAAAATAAAAAAGAAAAGATAAAAAAATTTAAAAACCCAAAAATATTATGAACAAGTTATAAGGAGAAGTAGAGAAAGGTTTATTAAGAAAATAAACTTATGGGCAGCACTTGTGGCTCAAAGGAGTAGGCGCCAGCCCCATATGCCGGAGGTGGTGGGTTCAAACCCAGCCCTGGCCAAAAACTGCAAAAAAAAGAAAAGAAACTTATATATTACTTATCTGGAAGAGTTACAGTGAAAAAATAAACAATTAAAAAAGTGCTTAATTACAAAAATAGCAGAATATATGAAAAATAAACAAGAAGGAAGCATTGAAAGAAAAAGGAAAGATTCATGAACTAAAATAAAAAGGAAAATGGCTGGGCATGGGAGCATGCACCTATTGTCTCAGCTACTTGGGAGGCTGAGGCAAGAGGATCACTTGAGCCCAGGAGTGTCAAGACTATAGCATACTATAATTGCACCTATGAATAGTCACTGCACTCCAACCTGAGCAGCATGGGCAGACCTTGATCTTAAAAAAAAAAGGAAAAAGTAAAGAAGAAAGAATATAAGTGGATCTGTCGGAATAGTGGCAAGGCGGCTGAATCCCCAAATGAGCCAAGACTAACTAAAAATAATCTAAAAAGGTACTTTAGTTACATGCAGAGCAAGACGATGATCAAAGGGACAGACTTGCTGTGATTGATGATGTACTATTGAAGAGTGACACAGAAAAAACAAACCACACAACTATCAGTTGGTAAATACAGCAAGAAGGATAATCATAAGGTCCCATCTTTGACAAAGAAACCCAACAACCAAGTAAAGGATGGGGACCCAAAACCAACCACATCAGTGTGGAAACAATGGGGCTTCTAGCCAACTCCAAGTGTAACATAAGCAGACTATGGGTTCTATGGCCTCTAAAAAGCTTATATGATACTGGATGTACTTTCTGAAATATCATGCATGTACCACACTTTAAAATCAAGGAGCTAGCCGGGAGCGGTGGCTTATGCCTGTAATCCTAGCACTGTGGGAGGCCTCAGCCTCCTGAGTAGCTGGGACTACAGGCACCCGCCACAACACTTGGCTATTTTTAGAGATCAGGTCTCCCTTTTGCTTAGGCTGCTCTTTGAACTCATGAGCTCAAGCAATCCACCCACCTCAGCCTCCCAGAGTGCTAGGATTACAGGCATGAGCCACTGTGCCCGGCCCTCAGAATACATTTAAAACTAATGTAGTATAAAACTAATATTTATTTCTAATTCATGCCTGAGGCTGGCAAAACCCCAGGGAATGTACCTATTCACGAACAAAGAAAGCCTCCCCTTAGTTAACATGACTGGGGAGGCCAAAGGAAAGGAAGAGCCCTACCAACTGTTTGTAGAGTAGTAAGTAGAATATGAAGATGGATAATAAAGGAAAAGCATATAAAAGCAAGAAAAAAATATTCCAGGTATGAAAATGACAGGAAATAAAGGACATAAAGAAGATCTATTAAGTCTAGAAAGGCTCTTAGGAGGAAAAAAAAAATCTAAGAATCATTTATGTCAGATGGTGTCTGAGGGATATAGTTAAATATGGCTCTTAATTTTTATTTAAAAATTTCCTATGGGCCAGATACAGTGGCTCATGCCTATAATCCCAGCTATTTCGGAGACTGAGGCAGGAGGATCACAACTTCAAGAACACCCTAAACAACAAAGCAAGACATTCTCTCTCTCTCTTTTTTTTTTTTTTTGAGACAGAGTCTTAACCCTGTTGCCCTAGGTAGAATGCCCTGGAATCATAGCTTACAGCAGCCTAAAACTTTTGGGCTTAAGCAATCCCCTTGCCTCAGCCTCTCGAGTAGCAGAGACTATAGGCACCTGCTGCAATGCCAGGCTACTTTTTTTAGTACACAGGGTCTCACCCTTGCTGAGTGAGGTTAGTTTCAAACTCTTGGGCTCAAGCAATCCCCGAAGCCTTAGCCTCTCAAGTAGCAGAGACTATAGGAACCTGCTGCAACACCAGGCTACTTTTTTTTTTAGTAGACAGGGTCTCACCCTTGCTAAGTGAGATTAGTTTCAAACTTCTGAGCTCATGCTATCCACCTGCCTTGGCCTCCCAAAGTGCTAGGATTACATTAGTGAGCCACTGTGCCCAACCAGGAGACTTTGTTTCTAAATAACTGTTTAAACATTAGCTGGATGCTGGGCACACAGGTTCACTGCTGTAATCCTAGCACTCTGGGAGGCCAAGGCCGCTGGATTGAGCTCAGTAGTTTGAAACTAATCTGAGCAAGGGCGAGACCCTGGCCCTGCGACTTGGAAGGGTGAGGCAACAGGATTGCTTGAGCCCAAGAGATTAAGGCTGCTGAAAGCAATGATGTCCTCTACCTGGGGCCCTAGGGTGAGACTTTGTTTCAAAAAAAAAAAATTAAAAATTATAAAAAATTCAGTTTTAATAAACAAAACAAACAAAAAAAGCATTAGCTACATGTGGTGGCACATGCCTGTAGTTTCAGCTACTTGGAAGGCTAAGGCCAGAAGCGTGAGGGTACAGTTAGCTATGGAGGACCCACTGCAGTCTACCATGACAGAGCAAGATTCTATCTCTTTAAAAAAAAAAAAAAAGACAGGCCAAGATGGGTGGCTCACACTTGTAATCCTAGCACTCTGGGAGGCTGAGACAGGTGGATTGCCTGAGCTCATGAGTTTGAGACCAGCCTAAGCCAGAGCTAGACCTTGTCTTTAAAAAAACAGCTGGCCATTGTGGCGGGTCCCTATAGTCCCAGCTACTTGGGAGGCTGAGGTAAGAGAATTGTTTAAGCCCAAGAGTTTGAGGTTGCTGTGAGCTGTGATGCTACAGCACTCTACCAAGGGCAACAAAGTGAGACTCTGTCTCAGAAAAAGAAAGAAAAGAAAGAGAGGAAGGGAAAAGAAGGGAGAGAAGGGAAAGGAAAGGGAAGAGAAGAAAGAAAAGATAAAATATTAAAAAATAAAAGTTCCTTTGGTTATTTTCACAATAAACTGCTCATTATGGTTTTTTTTTTTTTTTTGAGACGGAGTCTCAAGCTATCCCCCTGGGTAGAGTGCCATGGCATCACGCTCACAGCAACCTCCAATTCCTGGGCTCAAGCGAGTCTCCTGCCTCAGCCTCCCAGGTAGCTGGGACTACAGGCGCCCGCCACAACGCCTGGCCATTTTTTGGTTGCAGCCATCATTGTTGGTTGGCGGGCCCGGGCTGGGGATTCAAACCCGCCACCTTAAGTGTATGTGGCTGGCGCCTTAGCTGCTTGAGCCACAGGCGCCAAGCCTCATTATGTTAAAAGAGAAATAAGATCCTCTATTGCTACAGATCTCAGTGCACAGCACACTAAAGGTTAAGAGAACTAGGGATATACTCACCTGCTTCTGGATCTGCAGGAATTTTCCACATGTACAGATTGAAGTCATCAGAGCCTGAAAGGATATACTGTTGAAACAAAAAATACATGTTGTATATTACATATTATAATATGTAATAAATATATACTGATTTATATAGGGTGTCCCAAAGGTCATCTTACATAGGAAAACAAGCTTACATTATATTTTATTTTATTTTATTTATTTTTTGGATAGAATATTTTTAATTATTGTGGAATCATTGAGGTACATTATATTTTATACTGTTATATTTTATATTTTTATCTTTTAAATTTATGTGTCAACATGTAGAAAAATCTTTTGTAAAATTTTGCAAAGAATATTTTGTAAATAAAGGTACATTTAGCTAAATTTCCCATTTTCCCTATATATGTATATATGATAAACTTTGGTATACACTGTATGTATAATATATTTTATCTATGTATACAGAGATTATTTTTTTAAACAAATGAGATAAAAGGGCATATATTAAGGCACCACACAGCAAATATCCTCTTAAAATATTTGCCTATCAAAAGACTTGTTAGCGGCTCAGCGCCTTGTAGCTCAGTGGCTAGGGTGCCAGCCACATACACTGGAGCTAGCAGGTTCGAATCCAGCCCAGGTCTGCCAAACAACAATGACGACTACAACCAAAAAAAAAAAAAATAGCTAGGCATTGTGGTAGGCACCTGTAGTCCCAGCTACTTGGGAGGCTGATACAAGAGAATTTCTTGAGCCCAAGAGTTTGAGGTTGCTATGAGCTATGACACCACAGCACTCTACCGAGGACAACTTAGTGAGACTCTGCCTCAAGAAGGTAAAAAAAAAAAGGCTCGGCGCCTGTGGCTCAAGTGGCTAAGACGCCAGCCACATACACCTAAGGTGGCGGGTTCAAATCCAGCCCAGGCTGCCAAACAACGATGGCTGAAACCCAAAAAAAAAAAAAAATAGCTAGGCGTTGTGGCGGGCGCCTGTGGTCCCAGCTACTCGGGAGGCTGAGGCAGGAGACTTGCTTGAGCCCAGGAGTTGGAGGTTGCTGTGAGCTGTGATGCCATGGCATTCTACCCAGGGGGGCAGCTTGAGGCTCTGTCTAAAAAAAAAAAAAAAAAAAAGGAAAGGAAAAAAAAAAGGGCTGCTTGTTAGCTAAAACTCAGCAGCAACAACAAAAAATGACCTAATCCAAAAAGGGGCAAAGGATATGAACAGACATTACTCCAAAGACATACAAATGGCCAATAAATACCTGAAAAGAGGCTCAGTCTCACTAATAATTAGGGAAATGCAAATGAAAACCATGACGAAATATTCTTTCACACCCATTAGGATGGCTATTTCCAAAAACACAAAAAAGAATTGGCAAGGATATGGATAAAGTGTAACCCTTCTGCACTGGTAGTAAAAGGTATAATGGTGCAGCAACTGTGGAAAACAGTATAGCAATTCCTCAAAACAATGGAAATAGAACTACCATATGACCCAACAATTCTAATCCTAGATAAATATCCTAAAACTGAAAGCAGGGACTCTAACAGAAACCTATAACACCAAGTTCATTAGTAGTTCATAATAGCCAAAAGGTGAAAACAACCCAGGTGTCCATCAACAGATGAATGAATAAACAAAATGTAGTAATACACACAATGGAATATTATTCAGACTTGTTTTTTCTTGAGACAGAGTATCACTGTGTCGCTCTGTGTAGAGTGCTGTGGTGTTAGAGCTCACAGTAACCTCAAATTCTTGGGCTCAAGCAATTCTCTTGCCTCAGCCTCCTGATTAGCTGGGGCTACAGACATGTGACTCCTCAGCTGGCTATTTTTAGAGACGGCTGTCTTGCACTTGCTCAGGCTGGTCTCAAATTCCTCTACCCTTCCAGAGTGCTAGGATTATAGGCATGAGCCACTGTGCCCTGCCTATCATTCTGACACACGCTGCAATATAAACCTCGATATTATAGTAAGTGAAATAGGTAGACAAAAGAAGATAAACATCACATGACTCCACTTATACGAGGTATTTAGAGTTTTGAAAATCACAGAAACAGAATGGTGGGTGCCAAGACCTGGGAGTAGGAGGAGTGGAGTTAGTGCTCAGGGGTACAAAGTTTTAGTTTAGATTGATGAAAAAGTTCTAGAGATAGATGGTGATGGTTGCACAACAGTGTGGATGTACTTAATGCCACTAAACTGTATTATTTAAAAATGGTTAAAACAAATCTCATGTTATGTATATTTTACCACCATTTAAAAAAATTTAATGCAGAAAATAAAAATTAAGAGTTTCCCAAAGGTCTTTTATGCAAGGACAAACATCCTGAACTTCCAGGCTGTCAGCTGGTATCTTTGAAAAGGAAGCCATGCCAACACACCTACAAGTTAGTGCCAGGGGCATAAGCAATCCCCCTTTATGTGGCAGCTTTACATTGTTTAATTTCAAAAAGATAGAACATGGCTGGGTGCCTGTAGCTCAGCAGCTAGGGTGCCAGCCACATATACTGGAGCTGGTAGGTTCAAATCCAGACCAGCCTGCCAAACAACGAGAACTACAACAAAAAATAGCTGGGTTTGGCCGGCACTTGTAGTCCCAGCTACTTGGGAAGCACTCTACTCAGGGTGACATAGTGAAACTCTGTCTCAAAAAAACAAAAAAGGGTGGCACCTGTGCTCACTGCGTAGGGCGCCAGCCCCACATACCAAAGGTGGAGGGTTCAAACCCGGCCCCAGCTCAACTACAACAAAAAAGTGGCCAGGCATTGTGGCAGGCACCTTTAAGTCCCAGCTACTCAGGAGGCTGAGGCAGGAGAATCGCCTAAGTCCAGGAGTTGGAGGTTGCTGTGAGTTGTGTGATGCCACGGCGCTCTACCAAGGGCAATAAAGTGAGACTCTGTCTCTATAAAAAA